AATTGTTGCTTAAATACATGACGATAAGAAGAGCTTGCATGTGTTGACAGCTACAAAATTAGTTGTAAGTAGTAAGGTTCTGTTGGATGAGTGCTCATTTTACAATTTTTGTGCTTCTATTTTATGGGTAAATGCAAATGCAAAAGATGAACAATCAATCCAAGCAGGGTCAAATAAGTCCCCTGTTCCTTTTTTACTCATCGCCAACTAAACCCACCTAAAATACAGGAAGTCCAGTGTCTGCTGGTTGAACTTCCTTATGTTTTCCAAATGGCATTGGAATACACAATCTGACAAGTCTTGTCGATCCCAGTTGTAAGAGCAACAAATAATAACTTAACTTCTAGTTGATCGGGAAAAGTGGCAGAGGGTAGATTTTTCTGATGAATCAACTGTTAAACTAGACTCAGGAAAGCTCAGGAAAAATCATAGTTTGGGGTTACATTCAGTATGGGGCGTGCGAGAGATCTGCAAAGTGGATGGCAATGGCCTGAGGAATCAAAACATTTGTGCTGCCCATTACATTACAAACAGCAGAACAGGGCAAATTCTTCTCATACCTCAGCTTCCACATCAAAGTTCCTGAAAGCAAAGAAGGTCAAAGAGCTCCAGGATTGGCCAGCCCAGTCAGCAGACATGAACATTATTGAGCATGTTTGGGGTAAGAGAGGAGGAGGAGGCATTGAAGATGAGTACAAAGAATCTTGATGAACTCTGGGAGTCCTGCAAGAACGCTTTCTTTGCCATTCCAGATGACTTTATTAATAAGTTATTTGAGTCATTGCAGAGATGTATAGATGCAGTCGTCCAAGTTCATGAGAGTCATACACAATATTTATTATTTTTCCACTGCAGCATGACTTTATATTCTATACTGTACATTATTTCTGTTAAGTGACAAGACTTTCGTCTAAGCAAAGTCAGACCTTACTGCCCTGATTAAATAATTAAAAATCAAGGCATGATCATATTTTAATTTGGTAAAAGAAGCGTAATCTAGAGGCCTTTGCCTTTTATATAAGCCACTTCTGATCAACTAAAAGTCAAGTTATTATTTGTTACTTCTAAAACTTGGTTAGGAGACAAGACTTGTGAGGTAGTGTACACATGGTGCATTTGCAAATGCATACTATATAGTATGCGAAAAACAATATCGAGAATATGTCAAAATCCACAGTGAAAAAAGGCAAGAAATGCGCATCCACTGAAACTTTACTATCCCATAAGGTCATGTGAGATTATTTCTGAATGTGAGTGAAGCAACAACTGACACGGATAGATCGTGTGTAATGATAAATGGCAGATGTAGTGCATCTTATATAGAATAATATTTCTAGTATTCGTGAAGTCAATTCAAACCTATAATCATTGGGCTTGTCAGAAGACTTGCAGATCGTAGCTCTTTTGTTAATTGTATTGCTTAAACTTTTAGAGGTGCTCCAATAGAGAAGTTTTAGTTAATACAAAAATAACTTATAAGCCGATCATCTATATGCATTTTGATAGGTTCACTTTTGACAGGTTCTCTACCCACAAAGGGTTGGACTGTCAATACAAATCTAACCCAGTAACTCTGCTTTTTTAATCCATCGTCATAGTTCTAATCTGTGTTCTAATAAGGTTTGCTAATGTGTATATATGCTGCAATGTCTTGCCTCAGCTACCTACTGTAAATAATTAATCGGTATTTTGAAATCTGGCGATGATGATGATGGTGCTTCTCTCCAAGATAGTCAGACTCTTGATCAGCCAATGACAACGCGGCTCATGACTACCATACGACGATCACGTGACGCTGAAGGACTACCAGATCCTCAACGCCGAATCCAGAGCAGCAGCATCAGGCCACGCGGGAGGAAGGTTACTCGCGGTCATTGACATTCATCATCAGTGCAGTGTGTGTGTGTGTGTGTGTGCGCGCCCTTACACCCTCATCAGTGTACTACAATTTGCCAGAGGAGGCTGCTGATTGAGTTACCAGGCAATTTAAGGAAGTGGTATCTGTGACTCGGCTACTTTTTTGTGTTTTTTTATGTCGAGAGCTGCTTAAATTTATTTAATGTTTATTGTCTATATTTTTTTATGTTTTATTTATTATTTTTATTGCATTGTTAATTTCGTGTTCCAAAATGATTAAATATGCCTACTGTTGTTGTGTTGCTTTATAAATTAAGTCTTATAGGTTAAAATTTTGCAACGAATGATCGAACCAATTAGCGATTATTTGATCAGTATTAAATTAGCTTTTTTTACTTTAAATAACATTAGATATGCAAGATCACGTGGCAACCGGAAGATCTTGCTTGGTCGCTAATGACGTAAATGTAAACACCAGCAACTTGTAGGAATTACATAAAGATTTAATTGCATCTCTAAAATAAGACTTAAGTATTAATTCTCATGAGAAAGTTGTAAAGATGTTACTCACCAATGGTGTATTATTGGGCGTCCAGGTGTTGAAATTGTCACCGAAAGTAAAGTTTCATGCAAATGCCAGATTCAGAGATAGATTTTAATCAGTTGTGAATCGTGATGCGAGAGAGACAATTAATGCTTCTATGATGTTTCTATTCATGTGTGAGACAGACAGAAACCCACACCGGTTGACCTGATGAAGTTCACGCCTGCTCATAAACGCAGAGTGAGAGAGAGAAGCGCGCCAATAATCAATCGCGCACACGCCCACAAAAATCCCGGAAAAGAGCAGCGCCACCTGCTGTTCACTGGAGCCGTATATCACTGGTTAACTATAGTTCAGCTTGGCAGTGGCTGACACTGTAACCTGGTATGCTAACTAAAACCACATCATTAGAGCCACAGTTGGGTTCAAAGTGACACCAAAAAAGAAATGACACACTGTGCATATGTATTATTTAGTCAGTAACCTATTTATTTTTCATTCTTTGTGTTTTGAAATTGTAGTTTTGAAATTGTAATTGTAGATTGAAAAACTGACCGTATACACAGTTGAAGTCAGAATTATTAGCCCCCTTGTTTATCCCCACCCCCCCCCCCAATTTTTGTTAACAGAGAGTTTTTTTTAGCACATTTCTAAACATAATAGTTTTAATAACTCTTTTCTAATAACTGATTTATTTTATCTTTGCCAAGATGACAGTAAATTATATTTTACTAGATATTTTTCAAGACACTTTTATACAGCTTAAAGTGACATTTAAAGACTTAACTAGGTTAATTAGGTTAACTAGGCAGGATAAGATAATTAGGCAAGTTATTGTATAATGATGGTTTGTTCTGCAGAATATCGAAAAAAAAATTGGCCTAAAGGGGCTTATTATTTTGTCCTTAAAATGGCTTTTAAAAATTAAAAACTGCTATTATTCTAATTGAAATAAAACAAATAAGACTTTCTCCAGACGAAAAAATATTATCAGACATACGGTGAAAATTTAATTGGCCTATTAAACATAATTTGGGAAATATTTAAAAAACAAAACAAATTCAAAGGGGGGCTAAAAATTCTGACTTCAACTGTATATGAAGAGTTTGGATATTTGGATATTTTCTTCTAAAATTAGCATTTGCTCTGACTCTTGTGTATAGGCTCAGAAATTTTACTTTTATAGTGACGAATAAGTTATTTTCATTGCCTTTAAATTGAAATACTTGAACATAAACATAGGAAGCTGAGAAAAATGCTCATTTTAGGAGAAAATATCAGGTGGCATTAGAGGTTTTTGCATCTGATCTTTCAAATATATAATTACTATTATATTAAATGCAAGTAAAGTGTCTACTGTAATGTTTCAAATAACTTGTGAATATAAAATATAGGTGGTGTTTCATTGTCATTCAGCGCAAAGTTTAAGCAGCATTAAGCACTTCATCTGATCTGTACTTATTTGAATATATTAAAGAGACTAAATAGAGAATAATAACTTCTTTCTGGTATTTTAAATGGCTAAAATGTACTGGTTTGAAGGACAGAAGCAACACAATAACAATTTAAAATGATTTATTAATTTATTTATATTTTTAGGCAGCACATTGATTGTTAAATGGAGTTTTTAAACATCTCACTAAATGTTAATTATGCTGTGCATTTGAACAGATTTAATATCTGCAAGACAGTTTTAACATGGCTTCAAAATTGTTATAAAAAGTTTTATTATGAACAAAATCTCTAGTAAAATCTCATAATAAACAAGAACAAAAAACTGGAGTAAACAATAATTCAATCTGTCTAAACGTATCATTACTGCTAAACAGTACAGCAGAATGGCAGGGGGGGTGTTTTATTTGTTTATTTATTTATTAGCATTTTCAATATTTTTATGTTGCTTTTAAATTGGATTAATTTAATAAATTGGATACGTGTATGTATATGATTTTTTAATAATAAAAATAATAAACAACCACAAATGATCTATAACATAATGTCCTCAACGTTTAATAGACAAGAATATAAAATAAAACAATAAACGAAAATATGCAAATGATACTCTTTTATTTCATTTCTTTCAACATATACAGTGAACTGTCAAGAGGTGAGTGTGCTTTTATGTAACTAGACACCATGTTCTACTTTACACCTTTATTATTCATCATCATTATTATTATTGTTATATTATGACGTGATCAACGTTTTAATCATAAAAATGCCATTAAAATATATTGATTTAAACTACATATAAAGTAGTAGGCAATTCAGTGCATACTGGATGAGTGTTAATTCTACTGCAGGGATATACCGCCACAATGCGGTGACTATGGGGAACTACGCCTGAAAATGATCTAAGAGTATCGGTATACCTGACAGGTATATATATATATATATATATATACATACATACATACATACACACATACATACACACACACACACACACACACACACACACACACACACACACACTTTTAAAGTTTATAGATTGTATTACAAAGCTGCATGATTCAGACATGGTAGAATGTAGGTTTGATTCTGTCTTTCTTTTTTCTTTACTGCTATAGTTTGGCAACCCACGCGGAAAGAAATGTAACCCAAGAACTTCTTGAGCAGTTTATCAACTTCCGCTGGCAGTTAGCGCGGCAAAATGACATGTTTTGGCGGAGAAAGTGCAGATCCGAGGCGCGTATGTGTGCCGCTCGCCGCGGGAATCAACCCGGTGCAGAGCGCGTTAGGGGGAGGGGCTAACACCGGACTCCTCCCACTCTCGCTTTTTAGCCCTTGACGTATGAAGAGGACGGTAGCAACAGTTGCCTCGAGACCCCCGCTCGCCATAGTGACTGTAGTCGTGGAGACAGTTACTTACCAACGGGAGCAACACTCAGCAACAGCAGCAGCAGCAGCAACTGGAGGAGAGAGAGAGGGAAAAGAACAGTAAAGCCAGGGCAGATCTAAGCACAAGGCTGAGGTGAATATCTTTTTACTGCTTGGAGAGATCAAAAATGAGTTGAATGTAAATGTGTCGGGCCACGGAGGTTGAGTAATGTACATCTGGACGTGTTTTCACGCCCTTTGCTGCCTGTTGGAGTCACATTAGCACGCTAGTTGGTTAGCTCATCTGCTTCGCCAACTTCTGTCTGTTTGTTTTGAAATCGTTCAAACTAATACAAAACAAATACAAGTGTGCTTTATTTGTGCGCTGAAAGCCTGGGGTGTTGGTTATCGCGACGGTAAGATTAATATCTGAATTAACTGGTTTAATTGACGAGCTGACCAGCTTACCAACTGGCTAAACTTTCTCTAAAAGCAGAAAGTGTTTTTAATCCAGCGGCAGGACTTACTTAGCCGCTTTGTTCGCTCCGTGAATCGCTTTAAATCTCGTGGACGCGCTTGAGTTGTTTCGGGTTGACTGATGTGGACCGGTTTGGATTGATTGAAGAGCTCATGGTAAAATTGTTTTAATTAAAAAATCGATCCATCCGATATACTTTACGTGCCGCTTTCCGCCTTGTCAGTGTTCTCTGGGACTCGGAGCTTCAGGTTTGAACGCATCAACAGGTTGCTGAAGTCAGTCAAGAAGAGCGGAGCCCTATAAAAGTGATGCGGGTTTGAACAACGAGCGGCGCAACTTTTCAAACTCTTAGATTATCTGTTGCTTATTAGACTATTAAACTTCTGAGCTGTCCTATGTGACATTTGCACTACAATCTCAAAACTTAAATTCACAAAAAAAGTATGTTAACATTATATCGAAACATCTGTTTATAACAGCTAACCACAGAGTTATAGAAGCAGAAAAATATCAATCCGTAAACATTTGTTATATTTTAAATATAAAAGACCAGATAAGTCTGCGAGTTTACAGTGTGCAACATACCTTGTAGTAATTCTATGAATTAAACTGCACAATCCTAAAGAAAAATGCTTATCGAAAGGATAAGAATTGGTTTATTATGGAAGAAAAACAATTAATTTTATTTTATTTGACATGTTTTGGTGTTGAGCTCTGTTATGGATGTGACAGATGTAAAATTGCCACTTGTGTAATTTTGGTAATTTAATTATAATTATTTGAAAACATTAACATAGACATTTTTGAGTATTTTTAAAGCACTGTAAAATGCTTGCACAAAAAAAATTCAATATTTATCGCTATTTTGGCGAAAACTTTTTTCTTGACAAGATTGTCATTTGCATGGAATTGCTCTTTCGCTATCTTGAAGGAAATTACATTTTCTTTTTTGTCATCCGGTTTAAATCTGGTTGTCTTATCTGCACTAATGTGTTTGCAGGCTGTCAAAGAGTCATTGGCGAAAATCTGTTTTTGTAGGAAGATTTCAAGATGTTAACACAAAACCGAGTTCAATACAGCATTTAAAAACTACAAATGTTTAGTCTGTTTAATTGTTAGGAGATTATGAGAATATATTAACAAATAAACTTGGTTACACTGTTTTGATGGTCCCTATTGCACATTTTGTTGACTAAATACCAATTCCTTCTCATTTGAGTAGTAGTGTCTGCTTGATACCTGCTGATACGGCTCCTTTAACAGACATTTAACTGACTATAAGAAACCTTGCAAGTACCGTTGAATTATTAGTCCCCCTGAATTATTAGCCCCCTTGTTTATTTTTTCCCCAATTTCTGTTTAACGGAGAGATTTTTTTCAACACATATCTAAACAAAATAGTTTTTAACTACTTTATTTTATCTTTGCCATGATGACAGTAAATGATATTTTAATAGATATTTTTCAAAACACTGATACAGCTTAAAGTGACATTTAAAACTAGGCAAGTTAAGGTAATTAGGCAAGTTATTGTATAACGATGGTTTGTTTGGTTTATTATCGGGGAACAAAAACAGCTTAAATGGGCTCCAAAATAAAACAAAGAAGACTTTCTCCAAAAGAAAAAATACTGTAAAAAATTCTTGCTGTGTTAAATAACATTAGGAAAATATTTAAAAAAGAGAAAAAATTTAAAGGAGGGCTAATAATTCTGACTTCAACTGTATGTAAACTTACACTAACCCTAACCCCAACCTAACAGTCTACTTATATAATCTATTGAGAATTAGTTGGCATGTAGGTGCAATGTAACTTAAATTCAACAAAATGGGTTAAAGGGACATCAAAATAAAGTGATACTATAAACGTTTGCCAAAAATGTCACATTTGTCAAGAGAATCTTGTTAGAGAATATTACTGAAATGTGAAACATGTAAGTGAATCCACTTTTGATCACCTCCAAGTTAGTGTGGTCAGGGTGGTTAATGCGAAACTGTGAATCATGTTGCCTAAAAATATTTTATTCATGAAAGAAATCTCCATAATTCAGAGTGTGATCATTATTTGAGCTGCTTTTTTCCTTTTTTAAATTGTAAATGTATATTTTAAACAGCATCAAATATTTAATATTTTCATAAAGTTTTTCAATTTCCTGTTATACAGCTGATATGAATCTTTAATATAAATCACACTCTTTCAGTGCCATTTCCAAATATAAACATATTTCTGATACTTCATTAGTTTTCTTTTTGACATGATTAATCCCTCTCCCTCCTCCCCCCAAAATTCAGTTTTTTACTTTTTCCATCTGTCAAACTTTATTATAACTTAGTAGAGCTGTGTCATAGATGTAAAACACTGTACTGTAGTAATTGTGAGCAAATGAGATCTGCATTTGCATTATTAACATAATGAGATCAGGGGTGGCTGTTGACGCTAACAGTTTGTCAACAGCTTGACTGTGATCATCCAAAGCTGCTGTAATTTTTTTAGAGTTGCATCTCGTCGCCGTGGCAATGTTACACCTGCTTAGCAGAGAGCCTGGTAATGAGCCCTCTTCATGACAATAGCATGCGGTCCAGGTGTCGGCCCTCATTGGGCTGTGCATTTCTATTGATCTCTCTTTATTCGAGAGTGTCCGTGCCACTGAAAGCGCAGCTGATAATGAGGGTAATTGGCAAAGAGAGAGAGCCAGATCCTGATGCAACACACAGATCATGTTGGGTGACCCGTTCTTTACCATTTATAACAGTGGGTAGTTTTGATCATTTCACCTTTTCTGCAGCTCCCGTTCAAGGATGTTACAGATGAGGCCTGTCAAAGTGGGAGCGTGTTTGTCGCGCTGTGTGACGGGTCTCTCAGCTGAAGGGGGTAAAACAGTGGAGCGACATGTCTGTCAGGTGCTTCACTGAGCTCTGAAATGGTCCCCAAAACGCAGCTTCACAACACAGCATCTCCAAAGCCATGAGATCCGGTTTCTGTAATGAAATATGTTGTTACAGGTGCATGTCCAGGCTGGAGGAGAAATGAATGATTCATGTAATTGAAGTTAATTATTGATGGGGCCAATCGCTGCTTCCTGGGCTGTGTGATGTCCAGTTAGCTTGTTTTCGCAGGGTTTGGTTTGCACACTTGCGCTCTTTTAGCCTTCAGTCTTGAGTGTCAGAAGGTTGTTATTAATATGTCTGACTCCATAAGTAGTTTAAAATAATTTCATTGTAAATAGTCTAAAAAAATTTTTATTCAATATGTTAATTCAGGCCCGTTTGTGGGTGTAGAAACTGTGTTAGTCCCTTTTTAAAGCCTGGCTATACTTTAATTTTATACATTCTCACCCAGACGGATACGTTTGACATGTTTTATACAACTAGGCATGGGCCGGTACAAGATTCTGATGGTATGATAACCTTGGATAAAAATATCACGGTTCATGGTTTGACGATATAGTGGTTACTGCTCTAAAATATATTCTTTTTGAATGTCTGGGTAAAAACAGGGTTTATGCCGGTTTCATCACGTCAAATATAAGAATTTTTAAGGCCTTTTTAAGACCATTATCAATGAAATTTCAGACTTTCACAGGGCAAAACGCTAATAATTTTCTGTAATAACCAGTGGAATTTTTTTACTTGCCTAATTAAAATTAAAATTAATTTTACATAATGTGTTAAAATAAAGCAAACTCTAGTTATACGCATGCATATTTTTAATAACACAATCTTTCTTAAAAAAAGATTTTTTTTAATGTAATTTTGTTTCCTAATGTTCAAAAAAATATTTAATAAAAATATTTTTTGATTTAGGTCTAAATCAAGGTTAATGTTTATTTTATTTAATAATAGAATATAAATGTATTTATTAATATTTATTTAGCTCTAGATAAAAAAAAAGCTAAATAAAAAAACAGCACATTTTTTGGTGTCATTTATTTAATTGACACTCACAATGACATACTAATTTAAAAGTCTTTGAAAATCAAACCAAAACAGAATATTTTTCACGAATGCAATGTAGCATAAACAATATTAAATTAAAGACAATCAGAATGTCTCAAAGTTTTAAAAGCTATAATACATTACAACATAAATTTATGCATAAATACATGAAAACATTGAGAACTTTTAAACAAATGTTATTGTAAGGATGTTTTTTATAGGTGGATTTGTCAGTTGTACTGGTTGACTATAGCTTTACATAGACAATTAGTGAAAATTATGACATGTTTCTTCCCATGCCAAAATACAACTGACTGAATGTTCTGTTTCAATACATGTCTTGGATTTGCACTGCTGTATGCTAATGTGGATCATCTGCATAGACAGAAAACTGGATTGCATGATTACAGTGTGTATGAATGACTACAGACACTTCTGATGTAAAAATTGTGTTGTAAGGACAGTGCAAAAACTCATATGGCGGAAGTGCAGTTTGTTTGGTGTCATACACTTGTGATTGGACTGATGAAAAGGCAGTTTATTAGCAAGTGTAAATGAGTTCTCAGAAAGCAAATTTGTATGAAACTCAGGGCCCTGATAACAGGTGTGTAATCAGTGGGCCTCTGTATGGAATGGCAAAGATGATGATTACCATACAGGTTTCCCCACTGTATGTATGTATTCCATTTCCCATACATTTTCAGGTAATTTTGTCTCAATCTAACTTAATTGGTTCAGCCC